AACATTCCCAGCTAAATTGTTCTTTCACATCATCTGAAAAGCTTATATGATTAGAAACACATTTATTTAAATTTAGTATTTACTCATTAACATCACGTGTAAACAGTAAAGATTTTTCTTATTTAAAAGGAAATTACGAGTGCAAAATTTTCACAAATGGGCGGTGGAAAATCTCATTCTTAGAACTTTTACAACCTCGTCTAAAAGCGAATAACTCTTTGTAAGTGCTAAAAGACTAGAAAATCAGCTACATGCTCAACCAATAAATACCCACAAAAAATCAAAATCAGGATTAACCTAGCGAGTTCAATATATTGAGATAAATCAACAACAATACACAGCGTAAACGAAGAGGAATTGTTCCGATTACAAAGCTAACCTCGTATCTGATAGTCCGCCTGTTGAGAAAAGGGCCAAGAGGAAACGGAAACCCAGTGAAATTGAAGTAAAATCTGCCTCCGCCACCACCATCGCTGCCGCTAACGGTGCTTGAAGCAGCGGAAACCACCAAAGTGACATCATTTCCACCTCTATTTTTTCTGGGTTTCAACTGAAAACAAAGACCCTTTAATGGCAATCCACTAACAAATCCAGTATTGAGTTCTCTCGAAGCTAATGGGTTCTCCAAAATTGAAGATTTTGGTGCAGGCACTGCAAATGTAGCTGCCATTTTCAGTTCAAATTTTGCTTAACGGTTAATAATTGGTATAGTGGATCCAGAACTAGGATTCGAAAGGATTGCACTTTGATTCTAATTCCCAGGTTGGTTTGGTGACACGTGGGTGATCTACATTGCGTCGTCCTAGTTGGAATTTTCTAAATGTTTTCTTATTTTTGTGGACCTCAAGGATTTTTTGTGGATGACAAACTAATCACCATGAATTGAAACGAACTTTCAAAAAAAAACTTCGATTTACTAGAAATTATTTTCACGGTCAATTAATCTACTTCCATCCAGTTTCATCAAGTGGTCATGCAGCAGACATAAACAGTAATGATAATTATGAGATGAGATCCTTTCAAATGGGCTAAAAGAATGTCCATAATTATTATTTATTTTCTTTCGTTTTCATAATTGAAGAAATAATTTTTAAATAAAATTGCAAGTAAAAAGAATTAAAAAAAAAAAGTGATTCAAATCCACTCCGATACTCTATGTTGAAACATGTTGATGAAGTTAATCATGTGGCAGACGAGATAACAGATGAGATGGTATTACAGTCATCCAAGCAAGGTGTCATTTGTGGTCCAGCATTTAAGGAATGATCTAAAAGGCTTCACCACATTGAGAGTTTGTTATTTGTAACAATATTAGATTCTTTGCTATTATTCCTTCCGGTACCGATTTTGTATGATAGTACTAGTTTTGTAAAGTGTTTAAATCAGCTGTTGATTCATTCAATTCAATTACAAAATTCTAATCAAAAGCATTTTTGTTTCCAGCTTATTGCTGCCTTCATTCCATATTTAATTCCTTTTTACTTTGTTATATGGTATCAGAGACTTGAAAAATGGTTGAGCAAAATGTTCAAACACAAAACGTTGAAATCCAAACTGATTCCTCAAACGCCAGTGCAAATCAAAATCCAAGAACCAATCCTAAAAATGCACCTGATTTCAAAAATCTTGATCATACACACCTCAACAACCCGTATTTCATTGGAAGTAATGATGGAAATTGAGGGATACTGGTTACTCAAATACTGGAAGCAAGCAATTACCATGCCTGGGCTAGATCTGTTAAAAGAGCGCTTAGGATAAAAAACAAATTGGGATTCATAGATGGAACAATCTACGAGTCAGCTGACCAGGATGACCCCCTAATGGGGCATTATCTGAGGTGCAATGATATCGTGATTACCTGGCTCCAAAACAGCATGGTAGTAGACATTAGGAGTAGTACTGTATATGTTGAAACTACACATCAGTTGTGGTTGGAGCTTGAGCAGAGGTTTGGACAACAAAATGCGCCTAGAATTTATGAGGTTAAGCAAGCCATCATGGTCTTAGTTCAAAACCAAGATGATGTAAGTGCCTATTACTCTAAGGGTCCGTTTGATTACAAGGGTGAAAAATTGGTGGAAAGAAAATGAATTTCAGGAAAAGTAATTGCCTAGAAATTGTTTTCCAGTGAGTTGTTAATTAATTAAAAGTAAGGATATAATAGACAATACACCTAAAAATGACAAAAAAGATGTCAAAGTTAAAGTCATGTAAGGTGGCAAAGTAGTATTGTCCTTGATGATATTGACTTTTGAATCTTGTTGGAACCTATTACGTCAATAGATTTGTCTCCTTTTTTCACATGTATGTTACTTAGATATACATGTTAGATGCACAAACTAAGGCTTCTTCATGCAAGCCGAGGAAGGTAGTGGTAGTACACACTATAATACTCAAGCCTATTATGGACAAAAAATATAGTGGGAGAAACACGAAACGGGAAGAAATATACAAGTCTAGGTTGGAGAGTGATATAATCAATTTGTAATTACCTTCAAATGATACAAAGTATGAATAATTATAGGCAAAATGATTTCTCCAAATGTTAGATAAGTGGTTTCATTTCAACGACTTACAAGCCAAACTCTATGATGTCACATTATAGCTATCATAGACATATGATCTCCCACACATGTTCTAGACGGATAAGAGAGAATTTAACTCCCGGCCGATCTTGTAGAAGTGTCACATCAATATAATCACAAGCTATTGAATGTGTCAAATTTCAATATACATGCATCAAGGATCTATCCTCAATCACCTTGGACTTATGAGGCCCCTCTAGTATAGCTAGGGGTTCTGTTACGTGTTGAAATAATTATTATCCACATGGACTCTACATACTTGAAAAAAGGGCTCATTATGTGTCCATGTGTCACTAAACCAATATTTCACATCGACCTCTGAAGTATGTCAAACAAAAATACGCTTCGGCCACCAATGTTCTCCTTATCAAAGAAATGCAGACCTTTCTTCATTGGCTAATATACAATTGGAAGATTCCTCCAAATGAAGGCGTTAAAGGCCTCAACTTGACCCCAAACATAGACGTCATTTAAGCACGAACTTTGACACAATCAAATCAACAGACTCCAATGCAATAAAATTATGCATGCAAATAATGAATTTGATGCGAACCCACATAGTAATAGTAGCCACAAAACCCACCAAATGATAGCATAATCGGTAAATTCAAGTACTGCAATATTTACCTTTTTTCCTTCGAGTAGTTGTAGCAATCAAATATCAACTCTACTTTCTTTTTTCATTTCAAGTATGTCTCCGGATCACTCCTTCCTGTGAATGATGGAATTGTCATTTTGATATTGTCCACACTTCTATCAACACCATCTCCAACAAAATCTCTACCCATCCTTTCATACATAACTCATCTATCTCTCATTCTTTCCAATTCGACATCTACCAATGCATCCTCATTAATATCACTATTCACCAGCAAAATTCACTGTATGATTCCTCATTCCTTGCCTCCTTGCGTTGGTAACTTTTCTAGGTTATTCCCTACGTAAACTAGGAAACAATGTGTCTTGCCTATCCAATCTGTCTCTCACATTCTCAAAAAACCTTTCGAATCGTCGTATCACCTCCTCCATCATGATGACTTGACTATTCTCCCCGCTTAAAGTAGAATCTTTTCTATTAAATATCTTAAATCTAGTTTAATATTTGACTCACGTGTGTATCACTCAATTGGGCATTTTCCTTATATTAGTCTCATCACTCTTGATTTTTCTACTCAATACTTTCTTGTAAGTGTTTTAAAGAATTAATTTGATCTCAATCAAAATTTAACCCTTGTGGAGTCCAAACAAAGAATTGAGAGTAAGGAAAGTGATCTAAAATGATTCAAAAAGGTAGGAAATTGAACTTTGAATGAAACGCTAAAAATAAATTCAAGAAAGTATTTCTTGAATTCGAATTGGATACTTTTGAATTTGAGAATTTTTTTATTAAAATAAATAAATTGTACGGTGCTGGTAGATTTTCCCAATTTTCATTTTTTTTCTCGGAAGTTCAACTAGATATCAGCAAAAGGAAAAAAATAATAATTTGGATGCTAAATTAGCACACAAATAAGTTTTGAAATTTTATGAATTGGAGACGAAAAAATTGAAGAATGCAAAGAACACGGAGAATGAAAAACAAAGACTCAAACAAAAAAGAAAAAAAAATTATATAACCTTGATTTTTGAAATCTAGCTCTAATACCAATTGATGCGAACCTACGTAGTAATTATAGCCACGGAACCCACCACAAATTAGAACAAATCCAAGAAACCTAAGAATCAATGTTTGAAAACTTGACCCAATAAATTATTGAACTAAGACAATCGCTAACAATATCTTGATTTCGTGATCACAAAACTTTTAAATCTTACTTAAATTGTAGAATGTCACAAGAATTTAATTTTTGATAAGTTGAAAATTAATTTAATAAAGAATAAGAAGAAAACAATATGTCTTTCAATTAATCTCTCAATAAATTGTGTGTCTTTACAATGAATGTAATAAATCATATTTATAAGAAATCCATAAAACCTACTTAAAAACGGAATTAATATTCAAAATATCAAAACTTACCATAAAACTAGAGTTTTAAAT